AAATAGAAAATCGCGAATTTCTAAAAAGTCAGAAAATCTACGAGCATTTTATAAATATCAGAAAAAGCTCCACGATTTTCCAGATCGATTTTCTATAAACTAGAAATTAATTCCAAATTACAGTGTAACGTAAAGTAAGTAAACGGGGCTTATCTATGTCAACTGTGTACTTTCATTAAAAGTAACTGTAAGAATTATTTACTTCACTAAAGAAAACTTGAAAAGGTATAGCCTAGCTATTTCACGATAGTCGACAATTAGACGTATATATCTGGAATGGTTATGAGTTTTTGTCCTTCCAGTTCTGGTTGAGAGCAGATTTAGATGTAAAATAATCATCAAAACTGTAACTACTGTCCATTTTATTCCAATCCTGAAAAACATTATATTGAAAAATTGCTCTTAATTCGAATTGATTTCTAATCCTTATCGTTTCTGTTCTGATTCATGAGCGTTATATAGTCCATGATAATTCAGTTCTATCAAATTGTAAGAATTGTAAAACGTTGTAAAGTTATAGCAAACACTTGGATTTTTGGATTTAATTTTTGAGAATTCTACGTATGATAACCATGGCCGAGCAGTAGGAATGGTTCAATCGAGCGGATACTGCGAAGTTTAGGAGATCCGTAAGTGCATTGATCGTATCAAAGGTAACAAAATGCATTTGCAAAAAAATGAAAGCTTTCGGCTGTGAATAATCTAAAATGTCTGTCACAACCTATTACCTATTAACAGGAAAAATCATGGATAAAATACGTGTAATAGAATCAGAACTGAAATTTCAGATTTATTTAGTTTCTTTGATGAAAACTACTGATTTCGAAAACAGTTTGAGCATGTACATCTATAGGTTGACTAATGCGTCATCTCTATTCATTCACATCTTTTTTCTTGAGAGTTACCGAATTTTATTCGTATGACAGACTTGAAAATATAAACATTTGAGTACACCACATAGTGGTCAATCACGTGGACATTAGGTGGAAAATCGAAAGTACACTTTTTTAAGATTCAAACAGTGGGTAATATACTCCAAACTACGGTCTATTCATCCAAAAAATCTATAGTAAAAATTTCGTCTAAAAACTTAGCTATTAGGAAATAAGAACCTTTTTTACCTAAACTAAAAGGTACCGTTGAAAAACTCACACATATGCTGAAACTACGCCTTTCGATCTATCGATTTAAAAAAAAGGTTTTTGCCTGTTGCTTTGGCGTCGGAAGAAACGCCCTTTTGTTTGCGTGCTGAGCATTTTCGGAAAAGCTGTGTTCTGTGAGTTTCCACAATTTCCCACAACGCCAAATTTGATGAAATTTTAGCATAATACTCTTCTACTTACCATACATCTGTATGGATAATACCAATTAGCGTCAAAGTTTCTGAACCGAGTTACAGGTTTTGCGAAAAACTCTTGATTTTTTGGCATAAGGTCTATTTGTTCCGGTCCAGCAGCATTTTTATTTAAAAATAATCTCAAATTTAGGGTCAGCGCAGAAAACTGCTTCGAATAATATGCATTTGAAGTATTTCTGAACAAAAATAAATCTATCCAGTGTAATGCGACGGTTTCAAGGTATGGACACAGCAATTTTGACTAGGCACATAGACATGTACGAGAAAAGGGATGTGAAAGTCTCTAAGCACTCTTTTCATGGGTTTTCGCATATGCTCTTTCCAGAGAGATAACCTTCAAATTTTCAAAGAATGTTTGTACTGATTTTTCGGAGGCCGGATCTCTAGAAAAACCAGTAAAAAAATACTTTGACAGTTTGAAAATTATCTCTCAGAAAAGAGCATATGTGAAAACCAATGAAAAGTGTGCTTAGAAACTTTCATATCACTTTTCTAGCACATGTCCACGTTCTTAGCCAAAATTGCCCACTGTGCATCATACGACTGTCTCTTTCTCCCTAGGTATCTATTTATCTGGTGTCGACATGCTGGTTATACTTTTAAGCAATTCGCCATCCCCATAGACAAATTCCAGTATTAATCTATCTCTAAATATTTTAAAGATCGGATAACAGCATGATAATACCAATAATACACCGATCATTATTTGCTCCCAATGATTTCCTCTTATGCACCAGTAATATTCAAAGATAACCGTACTACAGGCTAGAAATAGAGAAATATTCATAAATCTCAACGGATCACCAAATAATTTGACTATAATTTTATGCGATAATAAATCGGGTTGAGCAGCATTATTCATATCCATAGCCATGTAAAAATTATTTTTATGAGATATAATCGTACCACGTTGATATGAATTACATTCTTCTAACCAATTACCAAGGCTATTTTTTGTTGTCTGATTTTGTTTTCTCCATTGACCGAGATGTGATGCTATTCGATGTAACGTAGTTTGAAGTTTAACCGGAAATAAAAATGTAAAATGAATGGTTATTGTAATAAGAAACAGTATGACTATTAATAGAATGTATGACTTTAAATCAACGTTTCTTAAACGTTGGGATTTATATATAAATGGTACTAAATCGTACAAAAATAATGTTGATAACGAACGATAAATTTTTATTGTTAATCGTTGAATTAAAATTGTATAAAAGTGATCGGCTTCATGTCTTATTGTTTGATATATCGATGAACAATCGTGACCAACTAGACGTTCTTCTGTTAAACATGTCCATCGTGTTAAAGTCGGGGTTTGACGAGTTATAGTAGCTGTTGGTTTTAGACGCTTGGAACGGGTAGTTGAAGAAGATGATGTGGATGATGATAAACTTCGACTTTTTTCAACAATTGTTGATTGTTTTCGTGAAAATAATGTTTTAAAATCGTCAAAACAAATCAGTTGTGGTTTTTCAAGAAAATTAAGAAATATAAAATGAATACAAATAATAAAAAACAGTGTATTTGACAAATTGTGACTAACAAAAGTGAGATAGAATATCCATATAAACAAAGAAATATACAGTGAAATATTGACAATAAGAATCAAAAGTGATATTCGTTTTCTCAACTGAAAATGATGCTCATCGTCAAAAAAGCAAAAAAGTTTTTTACGAATTGTTAGTAGAAACGTTGATAATAAATCAATAGTAGAAATAAAAAATAGTGTAAAGTACAAATAAGGATTGATCATATCCAATCTGATGGATGTTCTTGTTTGTGAACGTTCGTAAAATTCATACTGATTCATATCATCAACATCAAATTCATCTTCATCATGTAAAAAACCGTAGTTAGATGCCGAAATCCAAAATACACTATAGTAGAATAATAGATGAACACAATTCAAATGAATCAAATTATTTATCGTCATAAAAAAATGATAGGTCAAATGTCCATCGATTGATATAGCTGGTACTTCTGAATGAAATTTGTTGGATATTTCTGTATCATTATTTGCTCCTAATTTTGCCATGATACGAGTCATTTTGTTTAATATTACTCGCTCACGCATTCTATAAATGCTTACACGAGAAGATGAATTATTACTAGTCATTGAGGATGGACTTGTTGTGCTTGATGGTAACTTACTAGCTGATGGTAACTTACTAATGGATTTAGTGTCGGAAGCTGATGATACATTACGACTTCTCCGCTGCATTTTTTTCTAGTAAAAATTTAAAATTGTACAAAAAAACCGAATTTTTTGAATATAAATATTTGGTTATGAAGTAATTTTTATCTGTCATACTGTTTGCATCATACCTTATGTACGGCTGTTTCCCGTATACGCATTCAGTCATGCATACATTACGTGACATTCTTTGAAGGTAACTCAAACTAGTGAAGAAACAACAGAACAGTAGAAAGAAAAATCCTATTTGTTATTTAGTATCTACCAGGAAAATTTTTCAACAAAGAATTTTTCGTCATGTATATGAAAATGCTCAAAGAAAGTTATGATTCCGAGAATTTCACCAAGGTTGTTAAAAGTATTTTCAACAAACATGGCTCGAAAATAAATTTTAAATGTTCTAAGAAACAATTTTTGGAGATTTAATCAAGTTTACATCATCTGCTTAATTTTAATTCATTAACTTAATTTATAACTGATATTGTGATTTAACTGTTTATTTTATCACTTTTTATCAACGTTTTCAACGTATAAGCTCATATTTACTTTTTAATAGCATTCCACCATAGTCACCTTTATAATTTTATCATATAAGTTACATTTATATATGAAAATTTATTCAAAGAAGGTTCTCCTTCTTCTAATTATCTGAGGAATTTTCTTCTACTTTTTACAACACATCTAACATTGATTACAGCGGATTATCAAAGGAAAGTTGCAAACGGATGTTATTGTATGAGATTTTGCGTTCTTATCTTTCTATGGATCCTGCATTCAGTTGGATATTTTCAGGAAGAATTTTGCGTTGTGATATTTTAACCAAGAATGAGGATTTTAAGTGACTGTGCAAAAATAAGTTTATAGTAGTAAATTCAAAGAAATTTTCACATAGCGGAATCTTCTTTAGCTATTACATATTCCCACAAGGAAATTTTCGGTCGGGTGCTAGCACAATGTCTCTTGAATCCATAGCTACTTTAAAAGAAAATTAAGTGATGGACTTTATTTGAAATTTCTTATTAGAATTTAAGCATTTAAAGAAGCTTTTTACTGTTATTCTATTGAAAATAAAAAAACTATCAGTTAGAGTGAAAAACTCACTTTATTGTGCAAATAATCATTTTATCTACGTTATGTTATTTACTACGTCATGTATCAGTCGTTTACCTACGCCACATTGACAAACAACAAATATCATCACAGAACCAATTTTTTAATGGCTTTAATGGTGAGTTTTTTTTAACATGAAATAACTTCTCTTAGAGCTTTATTAATACGTTTGTTTGTCTAATATTTTGAAAGAATAACAACTATTCAAAATATCTGTTGATTTATACATCAGTTTTAATACTCATCAGTACATCAACACCGGTACAAGGGCAGGATACTACAACCGAATCCATTCCTATGTCAACATCGATAGAAGCACAGACTAGTGCACCCGAATTCACCATGTCAACACCGATAGAAGAACAGACTAGTACATCCGAATTTACTCCTATGTCAACACCGATAGAAGAACAGACTAGTACATCCGAATTTACTCCTATGTCAACACCGATAGAAGAACAGACTAGTACATCCGAATTCACTCCTATGTCAACATCGATACAAGAACAGGCTAATGTATCCGAATTCACTTCTACGTCAACACCGATACAAAGCACATTATTGACTACATATAATGACACATGGAACGGTACTACAATTGTTATTGAAACAACAATTGCTGAAACAACATCTATTATCATACCGACAACAACATCTATTATCATGCCGACAACTACGATATTCTGTAGGAAAATTAAGTTTCTGTACGTTAAAACTATGTAGATATTTTCCTTTTAGGTTATCCATTTGTAAATTCAAAAGGGTGCATCAACGCTGACACAAATGGTGGCGTTCTTGTAACATCCATTATTCTTGGTGGATTAAGTCTTATTGGTGCGATTGTATGTTATTGGCACTTCGTTCTATTTTTTGTACTTAGGAATAATGTTCTTTATAGACTATAGCTTCTTATATGGTAGTTATCCGGAAAACGAGACGTTTTAGGCCTCCAGCACAAAATCCATCACAGCATCCAATGAAAGTGAGTTGACAGGACGATTCATGTCACAATCAGATTGTAACCGTTGCATTTCAATTGTAGGTTATTAATCAATCAGGTAACGAGATTTCTAAGCTTATTGTGTGGCAAAACATATCAAAAGTTTCCTAAAATTCGATACAACCCCAACCAAATTAATTTTTTTTCTTAATTAGATCACAAACCTGTCAGAACGACAGTATAGAGTACCATCACAAATTGGGAAAATTCATAAAAGGTTACGTCAACGTTCGATTCCAGATACATTAAAAAGGATCGATTTTAATCATGACTCAAATAAATAACTCAATATCCAAGGCCTCGCTTTCTAGGATGACTTACTTTTTTGTTCAGATTTTGAAGAGAAAAAGAGTATAAGAAAGAAGTAAAATCAAAAACTTCGGCTATATACATAGATGCAAATAATTTATTGTTCTTCTTTTTGAAAAGATTTTACCTAAACATTTCCGAAGCGGTTTTTAATAAAAAAAAAGACTTAGCAGTGTTGCTAGAAAGAACATGGAAATATGCTGTAATTATACACGTTAACGCACCTTTTGCTGGGTTTATAAGGTTTTTTAGATTTTCTTCCACAAATAAAGATATACAACATTCAAAGAGTTATTTCAGACCGACAAACTAAGAAGTTGAATGATGTTTGCATTCAACCGATAACACGCTAGTATGTTGTTAGTTTTTGATTTACAGTGATGACCTTCAAAGTAGGAGGAGGACGTCAATTAATTATTTTTTTAATAGCATACTTCATCTGTATCGTTAATCAAATAAAATTAATAATTATTGTAAGCGATTAGAACATGTTTCTTAGTGTTGAAAGCTAACGTGGATTTAATTTTTAGAACAATCATTGGATATAGCATAAAAGAAATGTCAAATACAAATGTTTATTTAAAGTAACAAAAATTTGCCACGATGAGGTAAAAACTTCAGCAAATACGTAGTCCTTAAAGTAAGATAAGAGCATTCATTTTTTTTTAATGTAAAATGCCACAATGCAAAGAAATAAAATATCTTGTTTAGCAAACAGAAAATTATAATCTTGAAAAAAATCACAAAAATACTTAACTTTTCATTGTTTTTTGTTGAACGATGGTTTTTGTCTAAAACATTTTTTAAGCTTTTCACTTATTGTGTTTAGTTATATGGATATAGCTTGTAAATAGTACTTACGGACTTTACTTTTAAAGGCACAAACATTTTCCTTCGGCTGAAATATAGAAAACTGCGACCATGTTATTAACAATCAGCTTCAGCACTATTTATATCTTTCTCTATGCGCGTTTTTCATCGAAAGAAACTAAAATTTTGTCATTTTTATTAACTATTTCATCTAATATTTTAGTCTTTGGTATAGTATAGTGTTTGTATTAGCCTCCTGTGCTTCGAGTATATTGTCACAATTAACAATAAATACAAGTAAAACGTTTTGCAAGTATTAAAAAACAGACTATTAGATTCCAAAAGCATTAGAATAGTTATTACAATTTGAACTAAATAAAACTAGAAAGTGGATTCATTTCAGACCACAAATATGATAAAGCATCAATGATATAATGGTAAAGAATAAATTTGTGTCAATTTTTATTTTCATATGACAATTGTATCATCTCAAGTCAAGGTACATTATTTCGTACTGTTTTTAAAACAGTACATAAGAAAACTTCAACCGAATATCGCGATCAAGATATGATTTAAAAAAGTGCTGTATATACCGGAGTTTTAATTTGCTTCTAGTATTGATAGATCAATTTCCAATATTTTCTAACTGTATATCAAAAGAGAGTTATACCGCTATATTTTTGACCAGTATAGTATTGGCTGGTATTTCATTTCTCATGATTATTGCACATATTTGAGTAATGCACCTCGGCGAATAAGTTGCATTTGACTTTTGTTTTTTTGTGCAAACATTATTTGTTATTAATTGTCGTCGGAAATCATCCGTTAGCAGTGGTTCATCTTCAGAGAGGGATGAGAACCCTAATCATAATGATATTGATGAGAAAGAATCTGTTATTAGTTCCATTGTTCATGACTCAGTTCCGACATTGGTAGAAAATCCCACTAGGCGAAACACGCCACCTATTTTAATCAAAATAATGAAACATACAAGCATAGAAAAACAGAATTCAGAAGTTACAAGCATAAAACTCGCTAATACATCGTTTGGAAGTAGGCCCAAGACAGAGAGAGGAGGAACCTCGAATCGAAGGCCAGATGATGTTAGGAAGGTTTTGCGAGTGCTTGTTGAGCATTTTGAATGGTTGGAAAGGAAGTTCAATATAAAGTTTAAAAGAATTGATAAGCCAGCGTCCAAGAATTTGAATGATGTATGGTGGTAGACCACACATAGCTGCCATGGTGGCAGCACCTTTTCGAAATGAGTGACCCGAATAGGAAGAGGCATCAAAACCAAGGTGTTAAAGAACTAGTTTAATTTACCCAATAAAATTTAGGTGACTGAGAGGTTGGCCTGTAGGTGTTAAAAAGAGTGGTTGATCAGGACTGGAAAAGAGTTGAGCCGCATTTTGAGATATCGCAAAAGAATTTCCACAGGGCAAATGCAATGGGAGGAGGTGAAAAAGTGTACCATGACCAGAGCGAAATGGGTCTGTCTTAGATGATTTGAGTTGCAATGAAAATTACGGATTTGTAGATGTAAGTTTTACATCTCCTAAGCATAGCTGTTCTTGAGGAGTAAAATTAGCAGATGCCCTAAATTCTGAAACTCGAAGAAATTCGCAGAATACAATTACTGCTTCTGTCGCAAGAAGCAAATCTCAGTATGACGTAAAAAAACCGGCTGCTAAGGCGTCGCAAAGTTTAACGAGAATATCGAAAGTTATGGGTAATCATGTGTTCTTTGAAACTGTCTGTAAACTTTGGATAGCTCGTAAAATTAGTTGTAATGAATACGTCAACTCCAGAGGCCTAGTAGAGACAGTGCCTGCCACTGGTTTGCACATAAAATTGTTTAAACTAAATTTCAAAAATCAGAAATTAAGAGAAATGTGAAAAGTTTCGTTTCAGAACTGCTTGTATAAAAAATCTTGGCACAAGTCTTGATGTTTTTTGTTTGCTCAAAAGTAATGTGTCAGAATCAGAATTTTATTCTCTTTCAGAATACGGGTTGGAAAATATTTTATTACTTTTCGGTCGTTCACAAATGCGAACAAACTCCAAAAATCTATCTGGGCGGAAAAATATGTTTTTTTTGCGATATTAAAATTGGTCTTTTATTGTGATGATAGATAAATTTGAACTATTCACGGTTATAGAGCAAAATATTTTTCTACAAAATGATGTATTCAAATATTTTTAAAGCGTAAGGAGGAGTAATGAGAAGCATTTTTGTAAAGGCTACTTTCAACCTTTTACATGTAAAAACGTGAAAGGAGGAAAATTTCGATTTTTCAAAGAGCACTATTGTTTTGTACTCGAATAAATTCAATGGTTTTCCGGTTGGTTTTTTTTGTAGATAATGCATTTTTTTTTTGGAGAAATATTTGTTCTACAATCTGGATTGAAGCAAAGTTATTTTTCATCAAAGCTCAATTTAAAATAATTGAAATTAAAATATATCAAAATTTTTTTCCGTCCAGATAAACTTTTTGTGTCTGTTCGTATTGTACCATTGTGAACGACAGAAAAGTAATCAAAAATTTTCAAATCCGTATTCTGAAAGAGAATGAAAGTCTGATTCTGGCACACTATTTTTGAGCTTTAGTCCTCGTACCAATTTTAGTACAAGAACATCAAGACTTTGTACACAGAGGTTACCAACAACTCCAACGAAAAAAAACGATTTTGAGAAATAATAGTGCTTAAGTTCTTACTAAATTGTCATAAATTGAGATGAAATCATCGCTCAGAATTGAGTGAGATGAAGTTTTACCAGAAATATTTTACTCGACAGACTAGCAGCATTGAAACCATTTGCGATTCCAGCATGTTACTGGAATAGCAGAATTTCACCTTTAATAAAAAACTATATATTTCTGACAGAGAGGGAGGAAAACTGGCATCTATTCTCTGAAACATAAAAAGTCCGGATAGTTTCCCCAATCAGTGTAAGTTCTGTAGACCTTTTGAAAAAGTTTTCAAAAAATAAGGCGAGCGAATGCCAGTGATATTTAGGAGGGTCGACAATGCCTATCAGCATCACTTCAAAAGCATGATTCGACATTAACTGAAACTTAAAAAACACAATTTTTGAGAGGCAGCGTGAAATTACCTTATAAGCAAAAAAATTTAGTTTTAACTGTGCAAACATAAAACATTCTGAATATTCTTGCTACGTGTATGCATTTGTTCAAACTACGTACAACAAAGTCTAGTACCTCAAATTACATTTGATACTTTAGTTTGTCAGCTGGAAAAGAAGCTATAAGTACACATCGTATTTCCCAAACTGATCAAAACATGATCATGAAAACTTTTTAAAATATAGCGGTCGAAAGAAAATTAAGTTCTCGCTTCAGTCACGGTAAAAGAAGGCTTTCAAGATGTTCTACTAAAGCACAGTGAAGAGCTAAAAAATCTGTTTGAAAAGAACGAAAGCATGTTGTATTTTCCAACCCGCATATTTCTACTTTAGTCTAAAGATAAACTATTTCTACAGTGTTACATGTCAAAGAATTTCCTCATGATCGTCCATTTGCTAAACATTGGTTCAGAGATAGCCGAAAATGCTATATACACATTCAATCTGCGTCGAATTGGCTTTTTAAATGTTTATGGCTTTCCGTATAACCGTTGTGCTGTGTGTTAAAAATATATATCATAGAAGAGACAGAAAATAGCTGTTTTGTGTCTAACAATACGTGCACATGATTCTTGTGTTTCTGCCAACGTATATCTTTAGACAGGAAAAGATATATAGTTTTAAAAGTATGAGTTTTAATGAAAAGGAATTACAATCAGGCCAAACTAATCTAATCGGTGCAATATTATACTCCTACTGTTCAAATTAGAAAAAAAACATTAAAGCAGTGGGTTGCAACAACTGGCTAATGATAATCAGAATAGACAATTCTACGTGAAACTTTCCGGATTTTTCATACAGTACACATAAAAGTAGAAAAAAATGATAAGAGCCGATATTCTGTAAACAGAATGGAACAAAAGCGAAAAAAACGCTTGCAGTGAATGTTTATGTGATTCTTCAATCTCATATTTGTATATGATCAGGGTCTCTGATTGACAGAAATATAATTTGCTATGTTGACTTGCCACAATGTTATTAATTCTCACAGAAAAATTCCATAGCCACCTTACCAAGTAAAATCTTATAAAGTTCTTATATTTTCTCGTATAAGAAGCTTATCAATATCTTACGCAGTTCTATTGGCTACCTAATTTAAGATTCTTACAAGATTTCTATAGCATTGCTGTCAGATCCATCGTTCAGGGTTGAATTCCCGAATTCAAATTGTGCATATTATTACTCCACCTTATAAAGTAACTATATTCCATCTACTAATAATCAAGCTTAAACAAGCTGTGCGATCTAATGCCACCCTCCATGTAAAAATGAAGGTCACTTTATGGTATTCTTCAGTTTCTCCTGAAAGAAATTTATGCGCTTATAGGCCAATCGCGAGCGTGCGTAAATTAAAATTACTTCACTAAAGAAAAACGTAAGCTGAAAATGATTGAGATCGAAATTCACAGCAACGGATAAGAAACATCCCTGTTGAAGAATTTTCTTTTCTTCGATCCATTTTCACTTATTTGTGCTCGATTTTCTGATTAACCTACTATTCGGTGCTAAAGAAATCTCTTCAATAAACTAGAACAAAGAATGTATGTTCATCTAACTCCGTTTATCTTTCTCTAAAAGTCTCAAATAATTTTTATAAAAAATATACTAAACTGTTCGGCAGACACAGAAAGGAAGTAGATTAACTGACATTGACAAGAAAAATTCGTAAAACTACCAAATATTAAACGTCGGTCACTAATGAACCAGCATTATTTTTTGATATCTTATATTTTTGAAAATTGTTGTTTGTTGAATGCTGAATTTGTGATGCTTTTGTTCTGTCATTCATTGTTACGTGTGGCCTTCTTGATAGTAAACGTGTGTAATGTTGTTGTTGCTGCTGCTGATGTTGTTGTTTAAAATTAGGTTTATATGACTGTTGTTCACCATCACTGCTTGCTCCACTATCTCGACGTGAAACACGATCCACTGTTTCTAAATTAAGACCAACAGTATCGGCGAATCGAACGCGCTTCTTTTCGGTAAGTCCATCACTTGAATGACTTCTTACTGTTGATCGTGATTCCATACCTCGCCCTCGACTCGCCGGTCTTTCGTCATCATTCGACAAATATGCCACTTGTTTGTGATTATCGTCATCTCGTTTTATGATCGATGAGTTATCATCTGAATACGATATGAAACGATCGTTCAAAAATCCTGTAATGCCTTGTCTATTTATATTAAAATTATGATTGGGTGATGGTTCATCATCAAATTGGTTTGATTGACCGAATATACTGTACGAATGATCGACACCGCGAATGCCTGTCTGATACATGGAACCCATGGCAGAACTAATCGGCAAGGTAGATTTCCGATTAGACTCTAGTTCTATATCGAAATTTCTACTAACAAAACCTTTTGGTAACTGATTTGTATTTAAGGATTTTGAATTAGTTGGCATGTAAATTTGATCGGTAATTATTGATCGTTTGTCCAATGGCACAATGGAAAACGTATTAATTGGTGCAATACCATATTGATGAGGAATCGGAGTTAACAGTTCGGGTGATATCGATCTTTTTAAAATATCATCATGATGTGGATCACTATTTTCCTGATATTGATTATTCTCAGAGTTTTGAGAATGTTGATTAAAATCGTGTGGAAAATAATTTGTTAACCTGTTATTACTATTAATATTGTTCGGTGTCATTTGATATTTTTGAGGTTTGTCTGATCGATTATAAGCATATGTCTGTGATCTTGGAGAAAATGCTCTGGAAACATTCGCTTTTGAGTCATCATCGAACGATGTTCGTGATGGAGATGATATACGAGAACGATTCGCTAATATCTTGTCAGAAGAATTTGATCGCCCGTTTGAAGGAGAGTACGGCTTTTGTTCATCATTTCTTGATGTTGATCGAGATTGTCTTGACATACTAGATGGTGTCAATAGTGTAGAAGGCGTTATCGTTCGTTTCATTGTCGTTGGAGATAAAATTGTCGTAGAATTGCCCTTATTAGTTGAAAATCCATAAGTATTATCCGATGTTCCATTTGTTGCATGGGAAACAACTCTTTGAAGACCAACTCTGGGATGATGATGATCAACTCCTCCTCCTCCCGCTCTGGAACGCATATGATTCGTACTATAAGATTTTTGTACCGGTAAATTATTGGATTTTTGTACGACCGTGCGTCGTTGTTTTCGTTCACTTGCCTTGATACGTTCATATTCTTCTGCAGTGACATAAAACTTTCTACCATTACGATATACAGGTATTGTAGTCATGTCCGGAATGGTTGATGGAAGCGTCGGAGATGCAACACGCATTGGATGATTATTGTTCGTACCAAGATATAAACGATCCTTAAAATCGAAACAAAACATGTTTAGGTCATGAAATAGGACTCTGTTTTTGATTTGAAGCACTAAGTCTTCATGGTCAGAAATTTAATATCAAATAAAAGACTTTCTCATCTATTTTTTATGAAAAGATAGATTTTGTCGGTTCGTATTATGCATTCGGTAAGTTTCGATTTGAAGTACGTGATGACTTACTAAAAATCCGTGAAGTGTTCGTACATCATTATCATCTCCTGTATCATGAATAATTGGAGATAGTGATCGTTGTCGTCGGTCATTAAAATTTGATGTAACCATGTTAATACGATTTTCGTATTCTATAATAAAGTAGAAAAAAGCAAAAAAACTCCAAGTGGTTCTAATAGGTTTTTATTTTTATTTGTTTATTTCTGAAGATATTTGCGTCTAGAATAAACGTAAAATCATAAAAAACAGTTTGCTCTTTTCTCTTTTCTTCAAGAAGCTTAATTAGTTTCTAAACCAAAATACTCAAGTTGTTATTGTTTTTATACTATTTTTACTTTTTTTTACTATTTGGGTTATAGAAAATTCAGAGGAAAAAAACTAAATGATTTTAACTTTAAGAAAAACAACAACACGTGCACACATCACACTTTGACAATTCACAAGGTGTTTTTTGGTGCGATACTAAGATTTATTTCTATAACAATATTTTTTTGTTATTTTTATATGATAGGCGGCGCCGTCTGTTTATGATTCAAATATGTCACTCGCATAAAAAAATCAAAGAGAAAGGGAGAGAAAACATGAGTTTGCTAGAAAAAAATATGTTTATGTTTTAATAGCAAAAAAAAAAAAAGATATTCAAGTCATATGCTAAACAGGTGTCTCCATACCTTAAACGAAATATTCAAACTATGTATGAGTTTTAGAGAAATAAAAAAAAATACGAAAAGAAAAATTTCCACCCCCCCCTCCCTTTTTCTCTTGACATAATTGAGTTATTAATATTTTTTTTGAAATATATGCTAGGTATTATATATTATGAACGTTGCCTATGTGGTGATGTATATATCCATCCTTCGGTACATACATTTTTTTTTTCTATTCGTTCTGAATTCTAAAATAATAAGAAGTTGTTTATTTAAACAAGACCCTTGTGCTTTTATGAGATGCAAACTTTTTTTAAATTTTTCTTTTTTTTTTCTTTCTTTCTTTCTCTAGCTATCGTATGGATCATTTGAATGATATTGTCTGATCACTCCAACATAATTGATGATTACTATATCATCATCTTGATCACTGTATCATCATTCTGGTTATAATCAGAAATCTAATATAGTCAGAAGAGAGAGGGAGTATTCTTCTTGTTTTTATTGAAATCAGTATCACATTTCTATCAGTTTTTTTATCTCTTTCTTTCTTCATTTTTTTTTTGCACAAAAAAAAGTCAATTTTTCTTCTCTTTTAAAATATTGTCACCTCTCATGTACTTCTGAGAGAAAATAAAACAAAGATAATTCCACTGTTTTACCTATTTATAATAGACTTAGACTATAACCTTGAATTTAGCTGTAAAAAAAATGCCGACTTTTACTTTGAATGTACGTACGCTACAGTACTATTACCTGTGCCAAAGAAATTTACAGATACGATAGAAAAAAGAAACGAAAAATGATGAATTATGTTACGTCATTCTAACATATACTACTTACTCACTCTCTATTTGTAACATACTTATCGAATTCTCATTGATATTATTGACAGTGTGTACATCCAGATAAAGAGATATAGGAAGACGGACAGACAAATGTTTTTCTTTTCTTTCTCGGAGTCGACAGATAAACAATGATGAAAAAAATATATAGGATCTATAAAAGATAAAAAGAAACGAAGAAGAATCCCGTAAAACAAAAACCATGATAAACGAAGAAAAAAATGCTCGCATTTGAACTATATTTGAAAATGGACGTTATTATGAGCAATCTTCATAGCATGTAAATATCTTCGAATCACTCAAAAAAACCGTGTATCACTAATTTAATTTAGAATTTATTTGACGGTTCAGACCTTGGCAGATCTGGCATCGGAAGTAGGATGAGACAGTTAAGATTTGATCACCGGTTCAGTTCTTTTGAATAGAAACTGTTATCAGTTCTTTTCAGAAGAATGAAAACTAGCCAACAGTTCCTCCGAACTATAAGAATTGATGCTGCAAACTAAAATCTTATCAACTTTACCGTATCTGATGGAGAAAGATTATCAGCTGTCATACCTGTATACTAGTTCAGCCTTGCTACTAATCATTCGCTAAAAAATAACTTCTAGCTAGAAAAGAACGAATGTTGGTTTCAGTGCTTGCTTCTATACTATTAAAAGCAAATGCGACATCATCATTTATCACTTTAGGTTACCAGGACCGTTGATGCCAATAGATCACCCATGAGTTATCAACGTGTGTTAATGGATTAATAAATATGTAATTGTCCACCAGCATCCATCCCAATAATTCTTTTTTAGACTAATTTGTATATTGAGAGTTCCACATGTATGTATATATATTGATAATAATTGAGCCAAGCTAGAGTGTACCTTTCATGATACATTTAATTGCTATCATTATCGTACCCTTCAACATATTTGACTGATGCACCAACTACCCTTGACACATCCAGCTACGTCACATCTTTCTTGTATCCACTCATCCCTTGTTGATTTTAAAGTCAAAATTATGTCGTTTATTAGAAGAGAAAACTATCGTACGTGCGTGAGCCTCAAATATTGTTGAAAAAAATTAGACATTCACACTCAAATATTCTGATTCTACATGCTGTTTGTCCTGTTAAATTTCAGATTTATGCTTCTTTCACATTACATTTCCGCTTTATTATTTCTCTCACTGTCATCCTATACAGTTTATTTTAGAATTAAAAACGAAAACAAATGTTGATCGACAAATAACTTGCTTTTATTGATCATACTGCAGCAGCAGCTTGTATGAACGTGTGTGACAACATTATTTTCGAACTATTTACAACAAACAGTGCCGATACTTAAAAACCAAGTCGTCGAGTGTGGAAGCAAATCTAACAGTGAATTAGAATCATCCGCGTTCAAAGCACACTGCTTGTCAAACATTTAGTTTTTTGTATAAACGTATATTAGTAATTATATTCGGAGTATAGAGCAGAAAACTACCCAGAGTTGGATTCTAAATGGAAACCGAGCTTTTCTATTCCATGGTTACAGAATTTGTTTAGAATTTCTACTTGTTCTACTAGAATAAGAAGTATTTTGTAGAGAGTAATAGCATAGTCGAATAGCCCCATCAGTTTTTAACGACTAAAACTTGTGTTAGCATTCAAGAAACAGTTCCATTCTTTTGTCTTGGCAATCTAATGTGAATACAACTTTTTTATTCGTACACATGTCATACGTGTCATCAATATAAAAAAAACATATACTACCATTTTGCCATCATCTATGAATCGAATTTTACTCTTATTTTAACAAATATTTCGCTTGCTGTTGTTGCTGAAAAAGCGATGAATTCTGCATTTGGAATATTATCAGAAATAACAGCCAGTGCAGTCATTGATTTCAAAACCAATTAATGGTCAAGTTCATCTTCATATGAATAAAAAGAACTTTTTAAGAAGATATTTGACAGAAGTGAGAAAAGAACAATAAATAATTTGTTTAGAATTAATTTTCCACAAAATAAATTCGTAAAAAAAGAAATATACATTTATTATATATCATTTTCTATACGGATCAACAGTGAATGACATATGTCAAACAAAGGAAGAGTTGAAGCCAAATTTTATATTAGTAGCAGCGCCGCGCGCTATATCTCGTTCAGTTTCAACTTCATAGTTATCAGTGTTTGAAACAAAGGTATCATCTCCACGTTCTCGCAATATCAGATTATCAATCCCAGCTATGTTTGGAAGAGTGGATATAAATAGTCACAGTCCGTGAAAGCTGCACAAGGCTATGGTTTCACAGTGAAAATCAGACAAACATTCTGAAGGGTTATGAAAGAATTAAATACACCAAAATTCCAATCATTCTATTATTCGATAACACTAGTTAAGTTTCGTTTCCCGGAAATTAGTATTCTAAATGAAGTGCTGTTCAAATATTATATAACAAATGATCTAAATTGCAATAGATAACTGATACTCTACTCTAGCCCGTACATAATTCCTCCAAAAGCTAAAAATGAGCTTTCTTAATTCTGCGCTACCAACACGAAAAGAAATGGCAAACATTTGTTCTACGTCATTTCGTTTTTCTTTAGCTTTTTTTTCTTTTCGAAAGCTATAAAGCACACAACAGTTTGAAAAAAAAGGAATTTCTTACCAATTCACTGCAGATGGGTGTAACTTGTAAAAATACGGGTATTTTACTCTAGGTCAGTAGAACATTTTGAGATATTCCTAATAAAAAGTTTTTAGCCTTTGCGACCTACCTTTACCGGCTACATGTTCAAACTGATAAATACTAAGGATCTATGGTTCTGTTACCAGAAATCACACCAACATCATCTACTCTTAAAGAAAATGTTCTCATGTATATGGATTTGTGATAAATCTTAAAGAATTAAAATATTTTTATCTTTTCGATGCACTTGTAGTGTAACTTACGCATAGTTTCAGAAGTCTTTCTTTATTCAGACTACGATAAGTAGAGGTTTTGGGATATTTTAATTTCAAGAGAAACAGTTTCTCAAACATACAGAAAAGAATCGTATATGAGTTATATCGAGATGTTGTGTATTTCTCAGAATGTGCGTACTTTTAAAAGGCAATGATCCAGATTTAAATTCATTTAGTTTTTGTAAAAACGAGGAAAGAAAACTCGTTATAGATCAGCTTTTAAAACACTCTGTCAAGAAGAATAGAAAACAAACTTAAAAATAGAGTGATTTTAGGAACAACAAAAAAAGAAAGAAAGAAAGAAGAAGAGTAAATAACAAAAGGTAAATAAATATACGACAGAGAATCGACATTTGTTTCTTTTGATTACATATGTAAACTGGCTGAAAAAAGTTAAGGATA